AAATAAATCAGAAAGGATTACCTTTAAACAAAACTTTAAATAACTATATATTTTATTATCCAACAGTGTGCTGTTCAGTCATTAAACACAAATTAAAATCGGCCAACCATAGCGAAGTACTGAAATCATTCGGGTGCTTCCCTGGCATTATCGCAATATGGGCTACTTCCAATTTGCAGTGAAAAAGAACAACATACACAGACGCTGTAGCTGAAACTCAGCTCTCCTCAATGGAGTTTACGGTGGGACCCATGGCAGGTTTGTGCACGAAGTCGAATTTGCTTCAGTCTAGTGTAGCATAACTCGCGGTGAGTGTGTATATTACCGAGTGCGTGTCCAGTCGACGGTACTTTTTAAATAAAGCTCTTTCTGTGTTGTTGGTCACATACAGTACATGAAGGAACAAGAAAAGGTTTATCACACCCGAAGAAGGCTCCACAGCCGAAACGTTGTGTTTCTTTTCTTCACCTTTTCAGCGTGGGATAAACCTTAACCTGGTCCTTTACAGTACATAACAACTTATTAGAAATACCGTCTCTAGTCTATACTGTACATCTCACTAACCAGTAAAAATAAAGTTGCAAATTTGCAGTTAAAATACTGTTTTTTTTACATATTATATGAAACAGTATTTAGAATTTAACAGTTTGCCTTAAAATGACACACAATTAAAACTGGAGTGGATTTAATGCAAGATAAATGCAAGATCTGGCCAGGGTTACTGTAGGCTGATATTCCTGAACACTTACTGTACATAAATTCCTCTGGGAACTGGGTACATTCTCAAATAGCATTTGTTTCTGGGTCTTCCTAATATTGCATATTTTTCTTTATTTTCTCTCTATTTAGTGGTATGACACAGGAGGAATGAAAGCTTGAAAATGGTCCAATATTTTTTATTGATTACTCTAATTCACATATTCCCTGTGTGCATTGCTTTTCAGGCTTCTTATTCTCCTGTTAGTTAATAAAGAGTTCATATTGTAATGGAAGGGCGCTCAGGGCACAGTCTGAAAGCTGTCATAAATGTACTTTTAAACATATCAGCAAGCTGTGTGGTGCAGGATATAGACTTGATTGAGAGGGTGTAGAGGCAATCTACATCATATTGCCTCTACATCAGGAAAACAAATGGCTGCTTCTTTTGTTAACTAGATATTGCAATTGAAAAAATAGCTTCTTGAGACTCAACCCCCCATTTTTATCAAAGGAAGCTAAATAGTGGCAGATTACTTGGATGCAGAAACGCAGTGTACTTGACTCAATCTGACACTTTTTATGGACATGTTTTTCTATGATAAGAAAGGCTGCATGGTTTGCACAGTTTCACACCTTGTGTTTCCACTACATGATGTGATTAATTATTAAATAGTAGCTAACAAGAAATCGGAGCTGTAACACCTTACATTTTAAAATGAACTTCCCCATAGCCATATCAGATATACAGTGCCTTGCGAAAGTATTCGGCCCCCTTGAACTTTTCAACCTTTTGCCACATTTCAGGCTTCAAACATAAAGATATAATTTTTTATTTTATGTGAAGAATCACCAACAAGTGGGACACAATTGTGAAGTGGAACGAAATCTATTGGATTTTTGAAACTT